GAAGTCTGTGTAGCACGTAGTTATGTAGAGAGCGGCGTATTTTTTCTAAATAATTCTTTTGTATGTATATTTCATAATAACGGAACTATCAAGCGACTACATACCAAAAACCCACCATGTACTCGTACGTATAAATTGAAATATAAACTGCATTACGGCATGTAGCACAGGAATGTCATTTTGGTGTTATCGCATCATCCTGAGAGTTCTTAAGTTGCAAGGTTACTTTTATTCCCTCGTATCCCTATTTCAAGACTGAAACGGGGATAGCTATAGTGTCACTACAGATGTTATTTTGGCGTAATCTCTTCGACTGATAAGAATTCCACAATTCGCTTCTTAGCCTAGAAGCTGAGACAGCCATTTCTTCAATGAAGGTGTACCAGTTGCCCACTGGGGTACCGGTTAGTATGCCACGAGGAGAACAACCTCCACATATATATTGCAAACTATACAGTGTGTTTTCAAAGTTGTAATTTAGCTTCACAACTTGAAGAACTCTTTAAAAGGAATTGATATACCAAAGGTCACCTGTACAAAAGTTGCCTAATAAGAAAGTTATATATATATATATATATTATATATATATATATTATATATATATATTATATATATTATATATATATTATATATATATATATATATATTATATATATATATATATATATATGGATATCGTTTTTCAAAAACTGTTCAAAATCGTAATTCGATTTTCTAACGCAAAATCTTGATCTGCGAATAAAAAACTCTTTAAAATCTTCGAAAATAAAATCCTGTTGTCCACGAATTAAATCACAAGCATTCTCTGTGCGCTGCTGAAGTTCTTCCAGAGTATTTACTGCTCCATAATTATACATCAACTTTTTCAAATAGCCCCACAGAAAAAAATCGCAAGGCGTTAAATGCGGGGAGCCAGCAGGCAAAGAAATGGGTCCAGTGCGCCCTATCCATCTATTAGGAAACTCATTATTTAGATGTTCCAATGTGGTGGAGCCCTATCATGTAGGATCCACATATTCTGACTCACATCCAGATGAACATCTTCTGATAATTGTGGCAAATTGTGTCGAAGAAAATCCAAATGAATTTCACCGGTCAGTCGAGGTGGAAAGAAGTAGGGTCCAGTAAGCATGCAATTTAACAAGCCAGCCCAAACATTCAATGAAAATCTATGTTGAAAATGAGTTCTTCTTACAGCATGCGGATTTGCTATTCCCCAAACAATTGTTGAGAAAATTGTGCACTCCATTTCATGTAAATGTGTCCTCGTCTGTACACAAAATTAATTTCGTAATATCTTTATTTCACCGAACTGTTCTAAAAGCCACTGGCAAAATGTAACTCTTCTATGATGATCTTCTGGCTGTAACGCTTGTACCCGTTGGTACTGATTCGGATAATACTTTTCTTGTCGTATACTTTTCCACGCTTTACTATGAGAAACTTCAACTTGATCTCTATGGCTCTAGTACTCATTGTTGGGTCGTCTTCCATTTCTAAAATATCTCCTCAATTTGTAACATTTTAGGTTGAGCAAGCCTTCCAGCGTGACATCCTCGTTGTTCTTTCAAATATACTGTGTCACGAAGTCTAATAACCAAATTTACAAACATCCGTGGGGCCGGATTATTTCTAGAAGAAAACCTTTCCTCATACATACAGCCCGCATGCTGCGGCTGCATTTTCTTGGCACTCTCCGTATGTTAGTATTATGTCCACTAGTTCATTGTTTTCGTAAGCATGGGTCATTCTTTTGCACAAAATAATCAGGAAAATTGAAGAATACGCACTATTTAAAGATTCGTACTGAAAACCATACAATAACAAAAAAAGTTTGCCAAACTTAGATAAACAAAAGACGCTAAGATTTTATACGGCAGTGGTCGAGAATATCAAAAAATCTGTGCAATAACATCCTTATTTTCTTTTATTTTTAGTGTTATAGTATTTCTTTTATTATGTAACATTTATATCTATAGGTGATTTTTGGTATATCAACTCCTTTTGACGAGTCCTACAAGCAATTAAAATAAATGACTCAACTTTGAAAACACCCTGTAGATAATAACTATGTGTAACTTAATGGAGTCAATATATATTTTGAGATGCGCATTAACTATACTACTTAAAACCGGTAACTGTGCACTACTAGAAACAGCAGTCCTCTATTAGTGAGTCGCCGCATTCAGTTCATTTGCAAGCGTCTTAACAGTGCACTCGGTGTTAACAAATTTAAGACGAAACATCGAGTTGTCTCGAGAGAGTTATCGCGCTATTACTTACTATGACTTTAAAGTCGGCTTAACTGAACATCAGTGAATAGAACGGTTACAGCAGGCATTTGGTCATTAAGCTGCGTCCTGGGCAAGTGTGTTTCGCTGGTATGCCGAATTTAAAAGAGGGCGTGTTTCATTGGCTGATGTAGAACCTAGTGGTAGGCCATGTTCTAGTGACTATAGAGACGACTCTTGGGGTAGGATCCGCCACAGTGCACACCATTTTGCATGATCATCTTCACTTTAAAAAAAAGTTGTAGCGAGATGGGCGCCACATCAGCTTACTGATTCCCAAAAGGAGAAGCGTGTTAGGATTAGTTGGAAAACATTGGAAATGTTAAACAATGGCGGTCATCGTATTCTTTCACAAATAATAAAATGGTGATGAAACCTATATACCGTTTTATGACGTAACTACACGTCAGGAAAGCCATGTGTGGATTGATGAAGATGACCCTACCCCAACAATGTTAGAAGCAGAGAGCCATGAGGAAAGTCATATACGCCGTTTTCTTTCGCAGCACTGGCTTAGTAAAAGAAATTAAGCTGGAAGAACAGCGTACAGTTACCCCAAATTGGTACGTCATCAGCTGTTTGCCAGAAGTTTTCGAAATTGTGAACGTTAGAGGTGCAATCCTGCATCACGACAATGCCTTCCCTTCCGCCACTGCCCAACTTACACCAGCGCCACTCATTATGCTAGAACATCCGCCTTATTCGACAGATTTGGCAATGTGTGACTTCTGCCTCTTCAACAGTTTGAAAAATAATCTGCGGGTTCGAAAATGTTCGTCCGAAGAGGTAATCGATCAGGAAATTATTCAGTTTGTTGAAAGCATTTCAAAAACTGACTGATTAGAAGCATTTCATATGTGGAAGGTCAGGCTACAGAAGTGCATTGATGCTGGAGGCGAATACTTTGAATATAAATAAACTAGTTTTCATATTTATCGTTTAGGAGGCCGTTTTCAAACAAGGCTAGTTACATGTAACTTTAGACTATAAAACTGTTCGTATGGTTATCTCTCTGTTCCACTCAATGCAAGAGAGCAAAATATCCAATAGAAGGGGGCGAGATACTGTTACATTTCGAGAAATTGTGCTTCTAAACACTAGTAAAAGAGTCACTCCCCGTGTGTGTGTGGAAGATGAAACTACAACACTTTTATAGTATACAGAGATGCTTAAAAACAGTGGTAATATTTCCAGAGGAAAACACAACGAAAAAAAACTTTAATGTTCCTTTGCCAAGGTATAGGATGCTGTAAGTTTATATGCGACTAGTACCACTGGCTAGAGATAGAAGACGAACATTCTTTGAATAAGTAGGTGGCATCATTTCCCTAATGTGTTTCGAAGGTTGTATCAATTAAGCTTTACTAACGTCTGCTAAGACACTTTTTAAATAGAGTGTATTTGAGGACATGTTGGGAAACCAATTTTTCTTCAATGGAATTTTCTGAAAGGAATTCCTTAATACAGGCAGTCCAAGTGGCGTAAAACATACCCATCGACAAGGGAGTTCCTTCTGACACATGTCTACAGATAATTACTGTCTCATTTTTAACTCCCTTAGATATTGCTGCTGTTGGGTTATCCTGGATATTTATGAATATATAACTGTTAAAACAATCACTATTTTAATTATTTCTCAAAATCCCTTGAATTAATTGTTGAAAACTAGCCTGTAACCATTCGATGAAACGTTTTGCCGCATAAGTGCCATCTTGTAGGCTTAAGACCAATACCCGTGGCTGTGGAATAATAGCTAGAGTTTATAGCTTGCTATTAACGCATTAACCACCTTAAGCCGCATATACATATGCGAGCCGAGCCGTTTCCTAGCCGCTCGTGGACCGCTCAACAACTGTTCGTTGAAATTATTTTTACAACGAACGTCCAGTGATCCATGGAATAAAGCCGAACCAGCCTCAAACCGCTGGCGAATACTGGTCTGTGTGCTTCAGTTTGAATCATGTCTTCGCGCAAGGAAACTTACTCAATCATGGTAATGAGTGGTGCGGCTTTAGTAATTGGTGGTTTGTGCAAGAAAAAGAGGAAACAAAGGCGTTGGTGGCATAGTGGTCTATATCAGAAACGCAGTGATACGGAACTTATGCTGGTCTTGAAATCACAAAAAATGCGCGAATGTCGCCTACTTATTTTGAAAATCTGTTGCTGAAAACTGGCCCCCAAATATCGAAAGAGGAAACATATTTTTGCACCCCCATCTCCGCTCCAGACAGGTAAGCAGTCAGACTGCGTTTTTTAGTTATTTCGCCACCAATCATAAATACAGGTAGAAGTGTGAAAATGTTTCTCTTCCGACCACTCCATATTCGAAAATAATGCTTGCGAGCAGCACAACGTCACACAAGCACGTCCCAATATGAACTGCGAATCTCTTTGTGTTCGTCAAAAATTTCCTGTGATTGGGTGTATACCTGTTGGAAATAAATATATTATTATTATTATAATTATTATTATTATTAAAAAAACCGACAGGACACGGTTCGCAACGACCGGCTCAGGATCGGTTTGTGAGCGCTCAGTCTGGTGCTGAGAATCCCGTCCCTATCATACGAACTAGCAGTTCGCAAGCGGCTCGCGAACGGCTCGGCTCGCATATGTATATGTAGCTTTATATATCTTTGCTTTTGATATTTGTGCAGTATTATATGATGTAATTGTACGACTCCATTATAATTATGTTTTTTGCTGCAGGCTTGGTTTCGCTCACCAACGTGTCTCTTACGTCCCAAATCAGCTGAATGACAACTATTACTTACGGCGACCGAACAAGAAGACCGATTATAAGGTAATGCAAGTAAATGTTTGGTTTACCATTTATCACTTTTTTATATCTGAATCACAACACAATGTATTCTATATGCTTATCAATGGTTTTTGACATATATCGCTGCTCAATCGTCCACTATAGTAATCTAGTTGGTCTGTCGGCCAGCATTTCCCAAACCTTTGTCAATTTCTGGATTCCAGTGGAGGTTGTACTGTTTTGTTATTCATTGTAACTTGCCACGATATTTGGTGCTTATTTCAAAGTCGTCATGTTTTCGCACAGTCCTATTCGTGGTTTTGTGTCCATATTGGACATATTAGCGCATGTAACATCTGAAACATATCCAATTTATCGTAAAAGCTGGATCGATGGACGAGGGTGACGTGTCTGGTACACCAAAGAAACTAAAGATAACCTCATTCTCGCTCGACGCTTTTGAGGGCTGGGCGCCTTTTTGGGAATAGAATACCTACCCCAGACGGTAATAAGCTTTACTGGTTGTGCGCGGTGCCGCCTTAAAATTGCAATCCAATCATGTTACAGGATAGTTTAGACTACTGTAGTAACATACTGTATAGGGATTTGTGAAGGAAACAAACTAACGAAGTATCATCCGCAAACAAAATATATTATCAGAAGTGTCAATTTTACTTGATAAAGGTCACCTTTGGGTTCAAAACGATGTACAATAAAGAGGCATTTTGATCATATACGTGGTTTTATTTGACCAGACACGTATGGGGAGTAAATTATCGCATGCTATATTCGGGTATTGTAATAGCTTTATAGATAATGACACCCTTAGACCAGAATCCCAGGGTTGAAAGACATAACTTATGTTGTGAAAAACAAAACGTGGGGCATTGAGTAGCGTTTATATGCACTAATGGCTGGCATACCCACTTAGTTTTGTAGACGATCGACTTAAAAGTACCAGGTGAGAAAGGTAATTAGAAATAAAACTTAGTTTCATATAGGGTGTCCCAGAAGTCGGAAACGGGGGATAGGAGAAGTCATACTAGTTATCATAAAAATATAAACAATCCAAGTCGTGTACTTTTAAAATTATAGGCTTTAAAGAAAAGTCGTAAAAATATAAGTTACTATTGCTACAAAGTTCAATTTTTTCTTCGACGGAGTGGCGGGCAGTGTCATTCTACGTAGTGACAGATAGACAGTGACGCCACATTCATTAATTCGTGAATGTATTTCCTAAATTCACAATTGTTTGGCAAGTTTCAACTCTTGGAAGATAATGCCCGGGTTGTAGATACTGTACTCGCTGTACGTGGTACACTCTGTTTTCGGGATGAAGGGCAGCATTTGGGAAACTCTCACGATAAACCCTAGCTGCAGCACTGGCATTAATTACATCTACATTCCCCATAAATAAGGTATATGTTAGCGCATTCCTGTTCGGTGTACACAGATCTGATGGCACTACAGGATCATGAATTAATTAAAGGGGCGTTACTATTTGTCTTGCTGCCACTACGTAGAATGACACTGTATGTTACCCTGTCTAAGAAAAAAGTAGAAATTTGTAGTAATGGAGACAGAAAGCTCATAACAGTGTGTTGATTTTCCTGCTGTCTTTTAAAACCTATAATTTGAAAAGTACACGACTTAGATTTCTATATTTTTCTGATGACTATTATGACTTGACCTATCCTCGGTTTACAGCTTGACGTTGACATCTGGGATGCAATATATACAGCGTGTCCCAGACTCGCATTTCTGTACAGGGATCTTAGCTCCTGTTATACATACAGCAAAGGTTAAATGGGGAAAGCTTTAGAGGAAACTTAGAGCTTTGTATAGCCGGCTTCAGACTAACGATCGGTCGATTGCTTTTGAAAAGATCAGCGAAAACCCGAAGATGGCAGAATTTGTTTTTTGCCAGTAAATCCAAAACGGTTAATTTGACAGGTGTCAAAATGTGACATGACTCGGACATTTTTTTAAGAAAAGTAGGACAGCATCTATCACATGTCTCAGTCGACTTTTGCTTTCCAGCAACCCGCCCCAACTTTCATTTTTCTTATGGCCGCCATATTGGATTTTTTGATTTTTGAAAAGAGTGTAAAATTTTCAGTTTAGTGATGTCTCACAAGTGCATAAAAGATTGGAGTATCACCGAAATATCTTCACACGTAATGTTATGTATTAGTTCTTTTATGATTTATTTGTCAGAAAATAACATTAATGAGTAACGCACAAAAAACAAATAAGCGCCTTGAACCTTCAATATAATTTTAGCGTTAATATCAACTTCTAATAAGTCAAATGATTTGTGACAAATTTCCAACTATGAGTGTGTTAAAAAAACAAGTCAGAATCATCGTCTTAAATTTATTTAACACTTGAACAAACAAACAATTTGAATAATTGTAATGTAATGTAAAATCTAATTATGGAAGTGAGTATTAATTTACTGATTTTCAAAATAACGTCCATTTGCATCCAGAAATTTTGGACAATAAATTGGTGACTGTTTTTTGTATAACCTTAGCTAGCTGTTAATGTTTCTAACCTGCTCAAAATTATTCGTCTCAGGATGGATATGGTCGCGGGAGGATCGAATTCATAGACCTCATTTCTTGTGTGACCCCAGAGATAGAAATCCAAGGCTAAACGGTCAGGGGATCTAGGAGGCCAAGATATTGAACCATTTAATGAAATTATCCTTTCATCAAACTGCTCTCTTAAGAAGCTCCTGCTGACTTGAATGGTGTTGTGAGCCGGTCATCCATCCTGTTGAAACCAGGTTCTTCTAAACCCATCTTCGTAAAGCCGGCACAACCTGGTTTCACAAAAGCTCTAGATACCTTTGTCCATTTAGGCCAAGCAAAAATGGTCCTATAAGTTGATTTCCTGAAACGATTAATGCCTAGTTTCAAATAGGTGCCCAATTAAAAAAGGTAAGTTAGATTAAATTACCAATGACCTCAGATCAAACGTTAGTTCCAAATCTGGCCTGTAGACGACTCTCTGCCACTTCATGAGGGTTTTCCTCAGCCCAATGATGAGTGTTGTGCTTATTAAAAACTCCACAATTCCTTAACCTACTCTTATCGGACCACAAGTCATGATTTACAAAATCGGGATTTTCATTAGACTTCCTAGTATACCCCTCACAGAAGCGCATTCTCCTTGGAAAATCAGTATTCATTAAGTCCTTGAACTGATGTAGGTTTGTATGGATGGTACTTATTCTTATTTAATACTCTGTGTACTGTGGATTTTGGCAAACGAATTTCTCGTTCTATAGTTCTTACTGATGCACTAGAGATTTCGTTGACAGCTTGTAAAATGTTTCTGCCGCGATTTTCATTTTCAATATTGTATCCCCTTTCATGTTGTTCAAAGGTTTATAAATTAACTATTTTTTCAAATTGAGTTTTAAGAAGCTGCCATCGTTCGGTGTACATCTCCAAGCACCTTGCTGAGGTAATCTCGGCGTTTCTCTGTAACTGTAAGTACAGCGCTAACATGTCAAACATTTCTTCATTTGTGTGGGGAATACCGGCCATTTTCAACAGGTTTTGACAATTTTTTTTGTCAGATCTATGATATTGATGAGAAAAAACGTACGTACTATTGCTAAAACACAATTTTGATACTTCGAATTATTTAGCGTTAAAGTCAGAGCCTCCTTAGATGAAAAAAATGCGTTACTTTTTAATTTTATTTGATGACAAATAAATCATGGCCTTCTTAGAAAAAAAATTAATACATAACACTACGTGTAATTATATTTCGATGATTCTTCAATCTTTAATGCAGTTGTGAAACATAACTAGGTTGGAAATTTGACGCTATTTTCAAAAATCCAATATGGCGGCCTTAAGAAAAATGTAAAGGCAGGTTGCGGGAAAACAAAAGACGATTGAGACATGTCATCTCTTATTGTCCGAATGATTTCACATCTGTCAAATTAAACTTTTCGGATTTACTGGCAAAAAACAAAATTCGACATTTTCCGTTTTGCGCCTCTAATTCCAAAACCAATAGACCGATCGTAAATCTGAAGCGGGCTATCGAATGCACTAAATTTCCTCTAAAACTTTTAATGTTTAACCTTTGCTGTAGGTACAACAGTAGCATAGATCCCACTATAGAGAAGCGAATCTGGGACAGACTGTATACTTTGAAAAACATTATCCAGCGTTGCCAGATATATCTCGCCGCATACCCTGCATAGTGGAAAATTTTTTCTGATTTCAAATATACAGAATATACTGACGGGGCGGTAAGTACGAGAGAGAAGCGTGCAATAAGTATGTTAGAAGGGGTGCGTCCGTGACATTGTCACTCGGGTCACTAGGCATCGTGAGGCTTCTATCTCACATTACGACGTCAGTGGTATATGGATTTATTTCTCTGTATATGGCTTATGATACTTGTTTTTATTAGATTAATCAGGAACCTCTAAATTTTATGTGCTATGTGTATTCGAGTTCAAACCCGTTTACCTCTAGACGCATGGTATGCACGACACACAAAATTGAAGTTTTTGAATGAACTAATAAGAGTAAATATATCGGAGTATAATTGTATATTCGGAATCAGAAAAAGGCGGCTAACACTTTCACTAACACTCTGCAGGGTGCATCGTTCAAGAAATGTGATTTTATTCGATGGCATTTTTGTGAGACGCTCTATATTTAAAAGATATTGCATGAAAAACCTTACATTAGACTCCTTAAGTTTTGTATAAGGCTTTTCATTCTAAACGAGTATACAAAAACTATAGCCGGAGATCAACTTAGCCAGAGATCGTATTGAAAGCTTTAGAGCATGTAACGGAACTTGTGATCAGGCCGAAATGTCTTGCAGTGCCGATAGATATTATACTGTAATTATGTCTTGCAAGGTATATATAAATGCAAGCCATCAAAATGTGTATTCATTCCCACTTTTACTTAACTTTCTTACCTGGTGCCTGCAAATCAGCCGTCTATGGATACGTTGGAATGTATCAGGGACTCAGGCGTGTAAGATACACCGCTACTAAATGCTCCACGTTTTGTCTTTTAGAAAATAACGTACCCTGGATCTTACTCTAGTCTAGTACCACATTTCATCTCAAGCCGTGAACATATTTGTACATGTAAGTGCAGTCTGAGGATTCAGGAATTTCGCTCGGGTAAATTTAAATCATGGAGCTTCAATATGACTACACAATGCATCTTTAATCAGCTTCACTAATTTCAGCCATTCGGCAATGTTTCTGTTACTTCTAGGTAGTTTAGTGTTAGTATTCCTGACTACTGTTCGATGTTGGCAAGCTTGATCTTGCCATTACATAGGTATATGCTGCGGTGATGATAACGAATACCTGGAAGAATTTATATACACATTGGTTCAACGGTCTATTTGGTGGGATCCGAGATTTGATGAACTAGACACCTGCCTTCCGATCAATGTATTTCCGATCGAAATTTGTGACAGCATGAATTTGTGCAATCCTACTTTGACGTTTGAAATATTGACGAAATGCAGTATCAATAAACTCCAATTAGGAGCAATCACTTAATGGAGATATATTTTGCAATTTAATTCTGCTGAAAGCAATCCGATGATTAAATGCTGTTATATCTAGTAACGTAAATGTATAATACTCGTATATAAAGTACATTTCATTTCCTATGGACAACATTGTGGAAGTTAGACAGTTTTTATCGTTTAGCCCAGGAAAGTTATGTAGTGTCAATTGGTGAATGTCATTTGTTTTGTGGACGAGAAGAGCAAATGGTCCGTGAAACTGCAGGGTGCTGATTTACGAGCAAAAGCGTTAGAAAGGTATGGGAAAGTTTTCTGGGAAATCAGTGAAATTATTTCAACCACAAGATGTTGGTTTGAGAATGTTATTTCGCATCTTGCGTGAAGTTAAGCGTACCCTCCATGTATCGTAGGCTAGTTGACGAATAAAAAAGTTTTCAAATTTCCCACTCTTCTTCTGGTAACATATTCTACAACATAAAAGAACATTAGCACCTCTCTAAATGTTATATCAACCGATATAAAGCTAGAATAAACATGAGCCCCACTTTTTAGAAGAATAAACTACCTTAACTTTTTAAAAAGAACTTGGGGACTCCTTAACCAAAGAAACTCAATGAGGCCTGAATGTAAAGGATTTGAAATAAGCTTTCAAACGAGATGCTTCAAACTAAAGAGTATCAGCTTGAGAGATCTTGTGATGCACTGACTGTATTTTTTGCGTGGTAAAACTATGGCGTACTGATGACCATCCAAAAACTATCAAAATCCGGGCTTTCGAAAAAAAATTATCCATTTTCAAACAGTGTACTACTTTAGTTGGTCTTATAAGGAAAAAATGCTACTTCGATTTGAGCGAGCTCTAAATATTGCATTTCAATCTGTACCTACTTTACTGATAATATGTACGGTTTTGATACAATTTAAATGTTGGGCGGCTTTGTAGAATAATTATAATTACACTGTGATACTACAAGAAATTTGTGTTACAGGTATTCCACAAGATTCCATCATCCTCAATGCTGCTTACCAGCTACGATCCCTTCTATTCCCCACTGCTGTCCAGACTTGATGCCGTCTTTCAGCAGTTAGGCCTAGGAGATGAAAAGTCAAAGGAGGTTGAAAGATGCAGAGAAAGACTGGTGTGTCTGATGTATGCCAATCCAGCCAAGTACGCGCCTTATAGTAACCTCGTTTCAGCTCAACTCAGCAGGTAAGCTGTCCAAGATCTACACTGGTCAACACTGACTCATATCAAAAGCAGCATTCATTATAATATTACGTACGTAAAAACTGTCGTTTTCTGAACTTAATGTGAATGCGGTGTAGTGAGTGAGACAGTCGTGTCGAATCCCCCGCAGTAGTCAGCCATATAGTAATACGCTGATCCCTTGATCCTATCTCCCATGGTTTCTCGATCCTGGTGAAACCACTTTTCTTGTTTTCCAATATAAGGTTCAAGATTTTTTGGGATATTGGCCAGGATGACTGTGGTGGTGGTGCATTTTAATAAAAACATCACATTTAGGGTTAGTAGTATGTCGCTTACAATTTCAGAGTAGCTACTTGGTCTCTGACGTGATTTCCGAGAATGTTTTGTATCTAATGCCAACAAGCTTTTTTTCCGAATATCTCTGCAGATCCGTAGATAGTTCAAAATAACTTATCAAATCATTAACTTATTTCGTGATCAAAAGCTTTGGCACTGAAGACGCTATTTTTTCAGTATCATTGTTCCTTCTTTCTTCACTAAATATATACCTGTATATATATTTATATATACATGATTTTTCACGCATAGAACAAACTGTTGGAACAAGTACCTTCACTGAAGGTTCAAAGGGTTCTCTAGCCGACCATAAGTCTGAGCAAATCATATTGCAACGTTAATTAACACGTAACTTAACACAACGGAAGTAACGGTCATCAAATTTTTTTTTTTTTGTTTTTTACCACTGCTTAGGCACTCTGAGCCTCATACTGTCGCAAGTGTTCATATCATATTCTGCAAACAACTTAGAGCGTTCAGGATCTGTTTTTGTGTACAATTTCAGACTTGAAATTGGAAAAGAATCATTCTTGATAGAATACGTTATAGAGGTTCTGGACTTTTCAACCGTATATTAACAACAACTGTAACAAAGCACATCATGTTTGGTAGGTCAACTTTCTCAGAATGAAGACATGATGGTACTCGTAAAGCCAACTAATTGACAGAAATATACTGATTCTGTCCTATCTTATAGCCAAGCACGAATTTGTTAATAGCTATATTTTTAAGTGGTCTTGCTATGTGCTTGTATGCGGTAGTGAGATCTGTGCTTCGCCAGGAGGGAACTGCATAGTGGGGGGAGCTATATATATAACCTCAAAGACAAGTGTCTTTATTATCCTTGATATTCGTTTATTTTCACTGCCCAAGAGGCTAAACGGTTAGTAGTTCGAGCGTCGAAAGCACCTATTGCATTTTGAAGATTAGATGGTGAAAAGCAGCTAAGTCCCTGTACTCTCCCCTTTCATGATGGGGTAGGTACAAGTTTTCAAAGATGTAGGAAAAATGTTTAGTTACCTAGAAATACTCCAGCATGTCAGATACTGATGTTGTCTATACCCTCACGTGTATCTACTATGGGACTATGGTAGAGCAAACAAAAAATATTCGAGCACGTCAAGCATTGATAGGGGACAACCGTAGCTCCGGTTCGAGAGACAACAGTAGCTATGTTTCGGATGAGACGCAAGTCCATGGCGCATTGTTTGGAATCTTCAGAGATTTTTGTTAATCTGACATTTTGAAAATAATATTTTTTTAAATTGTTACCTGAGGAAAATATAATGCACAGAATATAGCATGCGAGTACCAAAATGTATGTGTTGTGAATAAAATATGTGTTCGTCAGTTTGATCCAATTTGGTCATCAATTGCACCTTAATCTTGCACATCTGTAACAAGAAATAATTAAAATACTTATTCATTTCATGAGAAACCTGCACTAATAAAAAATTACTCAAATCAATTTTCTATACTTAAGACACCATGTTAACGGTGTTATCCTTAGCTTTGAAAAAAAAACAGCTCCACCAGCTTTTCAACGGAGACGTGGGAAGTGCTTAGATTGTTTATGTCTTCAAGGTGACCAGCTATTTAATGAATTTATCTCATCCTTGTCCTCGGTAGCTGACGCAGACGTCAACGCAATAACCATTAATCAACCTTACCCTGAACCCGGGAGCACAGAATCAGGGCCTAGAAGGGTTATCTCAACAAAAACGAAAGTCCTCGCATCATTACATAAACAGAAATACTTTAATGGATGTTATTATTTGCCGTGTTCGAGTGCAGTCTTTTTCTTTACTTTTACGTCATCAGCGGATCGAATTTATGCTTGACCTTGCTGTAGGTCAGTCAGAGCTTATTAGGTTTCTCAGATTAATATCACCTTTCATTGAACCTTGTTTCCAACGTATAAGCATAGGAAATATTGTTGTCTAGAAAGTTCTGGATATTTTATGGTGTTTACTCCTTGAAAGCAGCGTGTAGGTCTATTCCTCGTTACAGGTCAAATCATTCTTTATCGTGATTAGATTCCATGGTTTCGATTACGGTGACGGAATCAATTTCTCCGATTCGTTTAGGATTCCTTGCGATTCCAATTTTCCCAATACCAAAATATACCATCTGTGTTGATAAGCATTACAGGAAGATTATTGATAAATTTCATTCCTGCACACGAACTTGATGGCAGAATTTACGCCAGGTTGACTTTTAACGAACTGTTAGAAAGGCGCACCTCTCTGGCAGTATTCGTTTTTGATTTTAAAGGCTCTAAGTGCAGAACGATTTGTAGAACCTGAGTGATGTGGGTGCATTTTGCCGACGGACGGTCCCGGGGTCTGTGGTGTGAAACAGTTTTGATGGGGTTTTGAGGAGTACTATATTTCTTAACAAAAGAAGCTATAAGCCCTTTACCAGTGATAAGTTACAAGGCAACCAATTTGGGCAGTCAGTGCCATATTACCGCATATTGTGGGTTCCGCACTTAGCACACAGGGTGTTCGTAAAATAGACGGAGATATTTTAGACCAGGATTCCTTGTTAAAAACATGAAAAAAAGTTTCTATAAACATAAGGAATTTTCAAAATGAATTAAAAAAAATTAATTAATATCTTAATATACTTGATTCTGTTCAAATTTGAACTGACGCGCAAATGTCAAACTCCCATTCAAAAACGATTTTTTGTTTTCCAAGGCGCTTTTAATTTTTTATCAAAAATCGATAAACCGATTTTGTCCAGTGACAGGCAATAAAACGGTTTTTATTTTTCGTCTCGAAAACGACGTGAGATACGAAGGGTGCCCCCCGGGACATCACTGTACCTAATAATAATAATCTATCAACGACTAATGAGCCTCTTACTACAACAATATTATTGCCAAATTTCAGCAGAATCGAGTGAATATTTTTCAAGACATTAATAAAAAAATATTTTTTCTATAAATTCATCACTCTGTGTCTTGAAAACTCTGCATTCCCAGACCCATGTTTATAGAAGCTCTTTACATATTTTTTAACAAGGAATCAACCTCTAACGTATCTCTGTCTATTTTTCGAAAACCCTGTATAATAGTTAATTGATAATTATTTGCATTCTTATAATCTTGCCCATCTGCTAGTCAGTGTTTTGTCCAAAATGATAAAAGTATGGCAATCAGTACCTCCACCATCATAATAGATAAAGTATTGAATTTTTTCTCAGATGTCTTATGTCTTCAGTTGATACCATGTTTTAAATATATTACCATAGATAGGCTGTAGAATAACCCTGAACAGTTGTGCGTGTCAAAGACATTTCTGTATCATCATAAATTTTACAGGCAAATGTGCGGGAATATTATGATGTATGAAATATGCTAATAGGTGGATATAACTATGGGGATTGGGAGCATATAAATATAATAAGATCAAAAAACTTTCGTAAACACTCTTCCACCCCCTACAACCCCCAATCCCCAAATTTCAGTCCTTTTAATATTTTTACCGAGAATAATCAAGAGCCTCTGATTCGTCAAAAAACGAGTTTTTCTTTCAGATATACAGGGTGTCCCAAAAAAAAGTGTGCAATATTCTACCAGCGGTTTCTAGAGCTTAAAATAGGAAGAAAAGTTTATATAAACATAGGTCGACAAACGTCCCCTAAGGGCGCTACGGTCTTTTAAAGGGGCTCCCCTGGAAATGGTTTATCCTTAATATTTCCGAAACGTGTTGAGATAAAGACATAAAATTTGGTATTCCAGTACATTTCCTACCATGTGGCAATTTTTTTAGTTCGATTTAAATCAAAAATGCCACAATTTATTGATATTCAATAAGAGTACCTTTTTATGTAGAAAACCCTAAATTTTCAAATTCTAAAATTAAATTTCAAAAATAGAATCACCCCAAATTTTTGAGGCTAAAATAACCTGAGTCCGTCCCTGTTACATACGCTTCCAAAAAAAACTGTCTAAAATTGTTAATATTTTTAGATCCAGCATAAAAAACTAGGCTAGAGTACCAAATTTTATGTCCTTATCTCAACACGTTTCGGAAATATCTAGGAAAAACCATCTTCAGGGGAGCCCCTTTAAAAGACCGTAGCGCCCTTAGGGGACGTTTGTCGACCTATGTGTATATAAACTTTTCTTCCTATTTTAAGCTCTATAAAGCGCTGGTAGAATATTGCACACTTTTTTAGGCACACCCTGTATAGTTTGTCTAAAACCCTGTTGTTTCGTTCCTTGACTATCTTAATAGGTATATTTCAAAAGCTGCATTTTAAATATATTTCCCTTGGCATCCATTATCTATCCGAATCAAACCACATGTATATTTTATTCCTGTTTATTGTACGACCTTTCGGCCAACATGGTGACAGGTGACAGTTGTCAATGTTTTCTATCCTCCATTTCTGTACAGTGTTGCGACAATAGATTGAACGGTCCTGTAGCACGGTGAGGTCGCACGAAGACATCATAGTTTTGAGATGTGTAGTGGATCAGTGATATGTGCGACGAAAGGGTGAAAGACATTTGGCAACTTTGTTAGAATTGGGCAGCAGTCGACCCTGGATACGCGTCGGGCAGGGTCGCGACTAATGCTTGTTACTTTTTAAGTTTTGCTTAGAACTACTGTTTTTTGTGAGATTTTAATAAGCCGTGTACTCCCTCGAAT